TCACTATTCTAAACCCGCTGGGTTTCCCATACTTATCATTATCTCTAGGGAACCTTCCCAGATAAGGGTTCCCTATGTACATAACTATTTTAAACTCGTAGAGGTTTCCTTGTGTTTGTCACAACCCCTAAACCCGTAAGGCTTTCTTTTCATCTGTCACTATCTTAATATGACACTTGCATCTCAGTTTTTTTTAGCATACCTTCAAAAAAAAATTTTGCATACCCCATGAATTTGCATACATGCACATACATTTGCATATCCTTCCGCATCCGCCCTTATCCAACTGCCTAGCTAGCATATTTCCCGATACCCATAAACAAACTCAAAGGACATCTCAAGAAGCTAGAGAGGAACCCAAGAAACAAGAGGGGTATGTAGCATTGAAAAGAGAAGGTAACCTTTCGCCATGCCAACCCACAAACTTACTCAGATGCAACAACTTCATGCGCCTCATCGATCACGAGATTAATATGTCTTACCACGAAAAAGAATCTTGAAAAGAAGTTGAATCCTATGTCAAATTCTTATGGACAACTACCTTAACACTTGCTCAGAAATGCCCTAGTGAAATTGCAATTGTAACACCCCCTTTCTATACCCCAAAAAAACAATTAAATCATTTAGGCACATAATAAAATTTTTACATCAGAGTATAAATTAATGCATGGTATAAAAGAGGTACGTCACATTATCCAGGAAATTCAAAACACATACAACACCTGCTCATAAAGATATGCAACAGAGGGTAAATCACCACAAAGGAACTTAGTCCTTAAAACCCACACATCAATATTTAGAATAAAAGCAGAAACATCTAAACATTGAATCACTACATTCATATAAACATTGTATACATCAACAGTTTAATTCAAGTCATAAATCATGTTTACAAAACATCCCGGCAGATACATACACAGATGTATCACAAAAGAACCAAAAGAATTCCTAACTACCCGGTGCTACATATCAGAGCCAACCGACCAAAAAGAACGAAGCCACGCTTCACAAAGACCTCGAGCAAAACCTACTCTACAATGCCTCATAGAGCATCATAAAACAGCAGAAGGGTGAGAAACATTATCATAACAAACAATGCATAGAAAATATATATATCTATATACACCAACATAGAATACACATACCATATTTCTCACCGCAATACATCACAATTCAATCATATACATATCGCAACACGTATATAATTCACCAATCATATCCACCACACAACATTCACCACTAAACATACACAATTATGTTCATTACATCGATATATCATATGAAGATAATAATGCACTCATAGAGACCGACTCACGACTCTATGCAGATGCAAATGCGGTACCGACTCATTCAGCAGGTTCAATTGAAGAACCAAAGGAACCATCGCTCGTTACCGAAGTAACTCCCCATCGGGCCTATGATGTTCACCCATCACTCACACCCCACATGGGAACACGATGTTTCATGATTGCTAACACTCCACAAGGGCATACAATCGTTCTGCAGATTCTCCACGGAATCAAAATAAACTATCGCTCACACCCCACAAGGGCACACGATGTTTCTGCAGATTCTCCACGGAATCAAAATAAACTATCGCTCACACCCCACAAGGGCACACGATGTTTCTGCAGATCCTCCTAGGGATCAAAGACTAAACCATCGCTCACACCCCACAAGGGCACACGAGGTTTCTACAGATCCTACGCGGGATCAGACACACACGAATGCAATCATGATGCTTCACAAACAAAATGACTCCATACATTCTTGAAATGCATACATATACACGAACATATAATTATGCATTTTCACTCAATTCAGACAATTGCACAAAATTGCCAAACAGCCACATTTCACACTTCACGATTCACAATCTAGGATTCACGCCATACAGCTACCCACAACATTCTATATCACACACACAACTATGCATAATAAGAAGGATTAATCATACTTGAATCGAAGAATCGACATGAAAGTGAAAACACAAGAAAATAACATCCTGCTACGCTCGCTACCCTGTTCGCCTAACGAACTCCTAGTGAGTACTCGCTTCCTGTTCGCCTAGCGAACAAGCTCGCGAAGGCAAACAGAAGCCTCTGACTTGGTTCGCTACCACACTCGCTCATCGAAGGCCTAGCGAATGCTCGCTACCCCCTTCGCTACCAGCGAGGAATCACCAAAGTCATTCTGCCCAAGTCTGGGACCGTTCGCTACTGGCTCGCCACAACGAATACCCAGCGAATGCTCGCGACCCGCTCACCTAGCGAACGTGCTAGCGAGGGTCTGCGAACTCAGAATCCCCACTGTCCAAAACTCCAAAAATCATCGAAATCTACCCGATTCAATCCCAACTCGTCTCAGTAGCCTTAGCCCAACATCCCTCGACTAAATCCTACCACTTATTCTCATTTCTAACCGTAAAAACTCGGTTTCTAACGATTAAATCAAATTCAACCTAAAACGGAAAATGAGCAAACCTCTCCCCAATCCAAAAGCAAACCAATAGAAATATACATAATCATACACATCGAAAGAATAATAAAGTTTCACACCCCTACCCGATTAATCGAAGCTTAGAAGTTTGATTCTTGATGATTCTAGGTTTTCTCCTCTTTCTCCTCTTCTCTCTTCTCCTCTTCTTTCCTTTATATTTCTTTCTATCTCATTTCTTTTCTCTCTAATTCCACTTATACTCTTTCTATTCTATTTCTCTCAAATGTCTACTAATTAAGGATTATCTAAAACACCCTCTAATTAATTCCCAAAACTCTCCGAATAATAAAATAACATAATAAACACGCATAACATATTAATGTTCAAATTCCACAATCAAAAGAATAATTCAATCAAAATAAATTAAAAGACTCAACAAAAATGAGAAATTCAGAATCGGGGCGTTGCAGCAATCACTTGATCCCTTTTCTCGTCCATATCCTACAAGTCATGACGAGAAATATCCAATGAGAGCACAAAGTTCAAGACATGATCGACAAACAGTTGACTTTCAAAGGAGTCCCATTAGCGAACGGTCACCCATACTTTGACAAAGTACAAGAACTTCAAGAGGCATCTTCTAAAGTCAGTGGATCAACAATGAAACTCACCCATAGGATCAATAAGATTTTATTTCCATTTGTAATTTCGTTGTTGCTAACTTGTATTTGTTTTAAACTTGTAACCTTTATTGGTAATTCTAATAAAACGAGAATGCATGTTTTTGGAATCAATCCATTCGTTTCCACTCATTCTTATGCCATCATAAAAAATAAAAAATAAAAATCACACATTTTCTTTTCACTCCTCACCTATTAACAAACTTAGGAGGAGAATGATATAAATAAAAATAATAATTGAATTTGCTGACGTATGCTCTAATAGTATGACTTGGCTAACGATGTAAGACATTATTTCACCCCTTAAATACTTGGGAAATAAGGTGTTAATTCGCAGTCAACCCCCTTAAGGCAGAAGTCGGTGTTCTCAAGTTTCATGCTGACACAGAGGTGCATCGAGGCTAACCAAGATAAGTGTCGAGCAACCATCACCATTAGGAGTCCCATTAATGTAAAATAGGTACACCAACTTACAAGTTGTCTTGTTGCCCTATCTCGCATCCTTTCATGTGCAGGCGAGGAGGCTTTCACCAAAGTCGAGAGTTTCCTCACATCGCCCCCGTCCTCAGACGCTTGAGGGAAGGTTCGCTACTACTTCTCTGTCTCTTGGTTACGGATCAGGCGATGAGCTCAATTATCGTCCAGAAAATAGACAGAGCATAGAAACATGTGTATTTCATAAGTAAGGTATTCAGGAGCTCCAAAACGCGCTATTAAAAGATTGAAAAACAAGCACTAACCGTCGTTGTTGCGACAAGAAAATTGAACCATTCTCTTAGTGCCACAAGATCCTGATAAAAACCAATTAGTATTTTTACCAAGTCTTCAAGAAACTAAATTTAACAAGAAGGATTGTGTCTTATTTTTGTACTCTTGAAAATAACACCTACTATTTAGTGATCAAATCATTTTGTTGAAAGTTCATGCACTTTGATTTGATTTGATTTATCCTAAATCCCCCACCATCAAAAGTTTGGCATAAATGTGACCACCTCATTTACACCTACAACACGCATTTTCCTTTTATTACCAATTCTAATGTTAGATACCGCGTGCAACCGCCATTTTGGCAATTTGTAAGAATAACGAAGACAACTAAGGAATGAACTCTTCCAGTTAACAATACCTAAACAGCAATAAACACCTACACGGCACAATTCAACGTATCCAACCAAAATTCACACAACAATAGTACTAACAAGTTTCCATTCATTTTTATTCACGCACATGTAAAAAAAACGTATAAAACCAAAATTTCGGCCTTAAACATTCCTTACCACTATTCAATGACGCGTCACAAAACTAGCCAGATATATCATGAACACAATAAAGAAAAACAACAGGATGAGTAAATACCACGTATCTTAATCATCATCCCAGCTTGTACAAAATCCAAAGCCTATTCATCGTTCTTATCCTCAATCCAAACACGACACATCTTCTTTGTTTCACCCATGGCATCCACTCAGGCCCCAGCTTTAACAAACTTAATCGTTTAACCACTACTTGCAATCTTAATCATTAAGACACAAAAAAATATATTATTTTTTTGCTACAGCTACGTGTACTAGTAGTGTTCACTGTGACAACAGTAAAAACGGTTACGCACTATCTCAGAAAGAAACACGGCTTTAGTTTTACACCGATCACGCGGTTTGGTGATTCTGCGGTGGATTTTAAATCATCAAAATTTCCAGAAATTAAATAAAATAATTAAATCAATTGAATTGAATTTCCATTGACTAAGTACAATCTGAATTCTAATACCAATCCCAATTTGTATGTACAGAACAAATTGATGTGAAATAATTGAAAATAAAATAGCTATGTAATAAAAGAAATAATAATAATAAAATAAACTTGGATCTATTCATCTATTAATCAGTAATGAGGAATTTCAATCTTGAAAAGAAATGGCTTCTTTGCTGCAGGAAGAGGGCTGGAAACCTCGTCATCCACGAAACACTTCTTTGAAAAGTCCGGAAAAGCCGGGAGATTAAGATCAAAGTCACGGTGTTGGCTGTGAGAGGATCCAACTCCTTCAGAGGCAGTTACGGCGCTGCTTCCGGCTCCGCCACCTGCACCGCCTTCGTAGTGGCAACGCTTATGTCCACCCAAAGCCTGTCCGGTAGGGAAGGATTTGTGGCAGATGGAACAGTCGTGAGTCTTGATCTTATTGGATGCAGAGCTGGTAGTCACGGCGGATGAGGTGGTGGTGGTCTGATTCTGATTCTGATCTTCGGTAGTGGACATAAGCGCGAGTTTCCGGTGGCTGGCTTTGTGTCCGCCGAGTGCTTGGTAAGATGAAAAAGCTTTGTTGCAAACAGAGCATTTGTGGCTGAGTTTAACGGCGGTTAACGGCGCAGATTCAGTATCAGATAAAATCTGTTTGGCGGTGGAGTTATTGTTGCTGTTGTTGTTATTGTTTCCGCTGCGAGCGAGCATGATGAGACAGAAAGCAAGATACTCTTCTTCACTGCATGAAGATTGATCCATACGAGAACGCTTTGAACGTTTACCTTTCGTCCACGGTGTATCGAGGTAGCTGATATTCGGTTCTTCGAAGGGAGTGAAAGGAGTGGCGGTGGTGGGTGAGTTAAGCGCTTCCATAGCCATATGATGAAACAGTTTGGTAGCGAAGTGAGAGAGGATTGTATTGTTAATTTTTTTGGTAGAGTGTGATAGTGAAGATTGGGTGTTGTGTGGTGGGTTTATATATAATGAGAGGTGAGAATTATAGAGGAAGTTACTTGACAGGTGGTGAGAAAGTAGGCGTGGTGCTCTACTTGAAATAGAAAAATCACTTAATTTGAGTAAATTAAATATTACATATTGAAAAGATTGGAGCACGTGTTTTGTAGTGGTTCTTTTAATTCATTCAGTCAAATAAAGTGTTGTTGTACCAACTGCACTTTTATGAACGAGGAGAAGTGAGGAAGACTGACTCAACGTTGTAAAGTCAAAATTTAGAAAAGTAAAATAAAGATTTTTCTAAGTTGTTTCTGTTTATTGTTTTTAATTTTGAGATTGAAGATGATTAGGGGTTGGGGAAGTTGGTCCGAAGCAGTTAATGTGTACAGCCGTCGGCAGGGCAGTGTGAACTAGCCACCGACGACTTTTATTAGTCAATGTCATGGTATTAGTAGCCGACTTTATATTTATATGACTTGTAATTCTAGTTGCAATGTATTCATAGCACTGTCTCTATTTGGCAACTTGGAAAGTGAGGGATCACTCATCCATAGTTGATTCAGGGGGTGTGTATATATCGCAAATTGCGTTTTAGATTGAAAGAAAAATATATAAAATGAAACAAGTTCGGGCATTGCGATATGGTTTCGTCACGATTTTTTGGGAGAGGAAAAATAGGATAACTGGCCAACTCGCGAGGGATTTTTCTTCCTATTCGTGTAGTTTTTTGTTTTGTTTACGATGATGCTATAAACCCAAATAGAAAAAAGACTATAGAGAAACTAGGAAGGAAGTAGAAATTCCAAAGCATGAAAGTAATTGTTGTAAGTACAATAGTATAAATCTCGTTTGCAATATGTGAAGTTAGGAATCTATAGGAGTGTGGTGTTAGTTTTTCGCTTCCTTGATTCTTTTCCTTAGGGATGTGATGTTTATGACGGTCTAGTAAGTACAAAGTTTATAAAGATTTAATGTTTTTTTAAAGAAAATATAATTGTTCATGATCCCTCAAACATTTGTAAGGTTAGAATATTTTGTAAGGTTAGAATATTTTGTAAGAAACACATAGTTGTTCATAATCCTTCAAGCATGAAGCATGTATGGGTGAAATGTATTGTTCATAAACCCTCAAACATGAGACATGTTTGTGTGAAGTGGTTGATGATAAAGACATGATAGTTTGCATTCTCTCAATGAACAAAGTGATTGTGGGTGAAATGTTTAAAGGAGATGTAACAATGTTGTCACCTATGGGTTAAAGGTTGAGTTTGATTGTGGTCGTCTAACTAAATATGATGTTTAATCTCAATGGATCTATCTAAGAGATAAGTGTTTTATTAATGATAAAATGATTAAAAATATCTTGTGGTCTTGTAAGTGAAATTTCTCTTCTAGGGCATCCCGTAAGCTTTATGATTTTTCTACTTGTCTATTTAATTATCTTGGGTCCATTGCCATTAGGTCTTTGCACATCTCTTATAATTGACCATATTTTCATTTAAACATCTTTTGCATGCATAAATCTGGCCTTTGACCAAAAGTCAATGCATAATGAATCAAGCTAGAAAATTTACAACTTGAATCAAGATGCTGATGCAGGTGTGATTGATTTGGACAAAAGCTCGACTCAAATCATGAACTTTCATAATTAATAAATTATGACTCGAGTCAGAGAATTGCTTGACTCGAATCATGAGCATGGAGTGAAAAATAGATTTTGCCACTAGATATGTGACTAGAGTCAAAGATTCATCCGACTTGAATTATGAAGGTACCTAACCCAATTAACATATGAGCTTGACTCAAATCATGGGTTAGACATGAATAAGTCAGGCTCGAATCAAACTCGTGGAAATCTAATTTTTTTAATCTTGATTTAAGTCATTCTCTTACTTTTGCTCTTAACTCGAATAAAATGATCATTTTTAGTGCATTATCTCTAGCATATATAAAAACAAAATTTTCTCTTTCTATCTCATAACTTGCAAAAAGAGATTTTGCAAAACACGTTCATAATCTTTATAAACCTTGAGTATTTTTGTCAATCACACAAACTTTCTCTCTCAATTCAAAATTGGTATGAGCTCCTAAAGTTTGGTATGAGTGCCTAAAGCTTGGTATGAGCGCCTTAATGACTTTTTACTTAAGAAAGGATTTAATTGTGGTAGTGTGGAAACTACTTTGTTTACATAGTGTAAAGGATTACATATTCTTTTAGTTTAGATATATGTAAATGATATAATTTTTCAATTCTACTAATAAATCCTTGTGTAGAGAATTCTCTAGTGCCATGTAAGGAGAATTTGAGATATCCCCAATGGGATAACTCAATTATATCTTGGGCTTAGAAATCAAGCAAACGGAGAAAGACACATTCATTAGTGAAACAAAATACTTCTTAGAGTTACTCAACAACTATGAGATGAAGAATTCAAAGTCCATATCTACACTAATGGATTCAAATACTCTAATTGATAAAGATGAACAAGGATTTAAAATCAAGATCATAAAATATTAAGATATAATAGGATATCTATTTTTGTACTAATAAAAAAGTACAGGTATGTGTGATATCTCTACAAGGGTAGGGGATACTTAAAGGCTTTAATAGGTATATTATGTTGTATGGTGGTTTGGGCTTGTCTACAGGAGCGAGAACCCTATATGATAGTGTTTTATGGTGGTTTTAGAGGTCCTGCTCATGTGAGATGAGGGACTTTGTAGATGAAGAATGTGCTTATATGTAAGCATCTATGCGGGGTGATTTGTATGGTTTAAGATCTATCTCATCTTCCCATGGGGAAAGATATTTATAGAGGCTTATTGGGCCTAGGGTTCTCTTGGAAAAGGTTATCGCCCACACAGTCAGTGGTGGACCGTTGAATACCTATTTCCAAAGGGAACGTGGGTCAATTAATGATCTTGACTTCTCTCTGCCCAATAAATATCTTATTCCACGTTTCCCATAACTAGGCAATAAGAAAACCTTAGGGTAAGGAAATGCCTTCCCAGGGGCGACATATCATTGTCACCTTTCCTAAAACATCCTACAATCGTTTCCTTAAGGAAGTCCCTTACAGATATAATATTACATATTCACTCAGGCACAAGGCTTTTTGATAGAGGACGAAGTGTTTTTAGATTGATGCTTAGTATGGAATACTGAGGACATGCACTTCTTGAGGATGCGATTTCTCGGGTAATGTTGTGTTTAGCCTAAGAGATCTAAGTCCTTCATGCGAAGCGATTGAACTTTTGAGTGAGAATTCCAACAAACCTTTAGGTATGACTTGTGATCAAGTCTCTTAGGAAAAACGTCAATCACACCTCTTAGGTGTGATATCTTTGTCCAATCCCTCCTGACGAAAAACTAAGTCCCTCAGGCGAGGTTCTAACTAGTCGGAGACATTTAAGCCCCTCGGTTGAATTTATGTGTAGCCTGACTAATGAGACTGCAAGTCCCTCAGGTGAGGGAATTATCCTTTCAGACAGGACCCCCATCAAGCCTTTAGACAAGACTTGTGATCAAACCTCTTAGGTTATATGCTGATCGTTTCCCTTAGGCGTTATATTTTTATCTAGTCCCGCCCGAGGAAATACTAAGTCCCTCATGTGAGGTTCTAACTAGCCTGATAGATTTAAGCCCCTCAGGAAAATTTATATGTAGCCCGACTGATGAGACTGCAAGTCCCTCAGGCGAGGAAATTGATCTTTTAGACAAAACTTTCATTAAGCCTTTAGACAAGATGTGTGATCAAGCCTCTTAGACCATACATCAGCAGTTCCTCTTTTTCGTGATATCTTTTTTAACTAAGGAAACACTAAGTCCTTCAAGAGAGGTTATAACTATCCTGGGAGATCTAAGGTCCATAGGTGAGTTTATATATAACCCGACTGATTCGAGTGAGGCGATTGACCTTTCATACGAGACTTCCACCAATCCCTCAGATAAGACTTGCGATCATGCCTCTTAGGCCAAACATCAATCACGCCTCTTAAGCGTGATATATTTGTTTGATCACACCCGAGGAAACACTAAGTCCCTCAGGAAAAGTCTTACATGCAAAAGAGTTTATAAGGACTAAAGGTTAATGACATTAGGGAAATGTGGCAACAATATGAAAATTATAGTAGATAGTTGTTCCCTTGAATTAATACATATGGCTTGATGTTGTGGACACACACCACTAGATCACCTTCTGCTTCATCTGTCATGACATATCTCACTAGACACACACAAAATATGAACTTTATTAGATGGATCATTCCCCAACATGCCTCTTAATATTGAGTTAACTTCTTAATCACCATTTATCATTTATTGTATTTCTAACTGAATTTGTGACAACCCAATATTATTGTTACCTTTTTGCTTATGACTATTCACAAGACTTTAATATGAGAATCAACTTAAGTAATACCAATCTTTGTGGGATCGATACTCTTACTTTTACATCACCTGTTACAGTTTGACTATGTATATTTGCATATAACAATAGCTAACTCAACATTGTTACATTGGGAGGAAGACGGGGGTGGTTTAAGATAAAGGAATAGTAGTTGGTGACAACACCCACCTTAGAAGAAGTATGCCATATTTTTTGTTGGTTCTATGCTCAATAAATTTCTTTGTTGTAATTTCTCTATTTTTATAACTTTTTTTAGGTTTCAAATGGATAACTGGTAATGTCAACAGCTAAAAACATGATTAAATTAAGAAACTAGAATAAGTGAGAGTGGTTTGATTAGTACTCACATTGAGTAAGAAATTCTAGTTATGAAGTCAATAGGGAGAAGTCAAAGTAGAATCTTTCATAATCTTCACAAATGTGAGAGTCACAATAAGTCAAGAAGTAAGTTAAAACTATAAAATACTTTAAGATATATTTGTATCAAACTATGACACATTAAAATATATTTAAGTT